TTCCCAATTTGACGTGCTGACCAATATCGAACAAAAATTGAAACTTTACATTCTTTAGGAACGCTACGTGTGTTCGCAGCTTCATAGCAGACATTTTATTAATAGCTTTTTTTCAAATTTCTCGTTCTAAATGTTTTCAATCTAGACGCAAAAATCATGGCCAGAGATATACTCGGCGATTGTTCTTTTGTTTCGCGTTCTCTTCTAAAATTTTCGTTCACAGCGGGGGCCCGGCGCCTGCTCTTATGCGATTCCCTAGAAAACAAGGCGTACGGCTCCGGGTGCTCATTGGACAATTTATTACGCCTTGCAACATTAGAGCGCATCTATCGACCGCATGAAGCTATTCGGTTGTAGTGTTGGTGCCGGACGCTAATCGGATCACCCGGGGCTGGCAAAAAGAATGATGATTGCTTCTCCGTATCGCGAGGGTGCTTCCGAAAGTTTTGTTTTGCAGGCGGAAAGCATCTCCCAAGCTGCCATTTCTAGATTAACGGAAGGGCCCCGTCTGTTGGCGCTTTCTGAGTGGCGTACGGAACTGTACAAGCAGAAACACGAGCCGCTATCGGGGCCCAGACAGGAGTCACCGTTACGTCTTCATCAGCAAGCTAGACGTCTGCGTTTATATCCCGGTGCGTTCGGAAATGGCTCTCCCCTTTCCATTATGAAAGGAGGCATCGCATGGTGATTGCATCGTGTCAAGCTTATCGGCATCTGATGGCAGGACTATCTTTTTTTTGTCCGGCGAAATAGCCTCCAGGCCAAATAATATGCCGTTGTCTATTGGCTGTAGATCTCAGTCTTAGCTTTGACCCAGTCCTCGTCGCCCTTAACGTATCTGCTAGAAGAACCAAAGCTTTTTCCGTGCCCCCTTTCAACGCAACGGTATGCACACGTTCCCATCAACGAAAACACAATACCTATAAGAAGACCAGGTATCGAGTGCATTGGCAGGCACTCTGCAGTTCCGTTCGCTCTCAAGACTAGAGTAAAATCCCACAATAAGAAAGATTTTCCGGCTGAAAAGAACAGTGCGAAGTGTAGCTACGCAAACAGTGGCAAGATGTTACTGGGAACGCGACAGAACAGCACACGACAAAACAGCACGTGACAAAACAGAACGGTTAAAACAGCACGCGTCAAAACAGCACGGCTTTAAAACAGCACGGCGACAAAACAGCACGTGCCTAAATAGCACGCGACAAAACAGCACCGCGTCAAAATGGCCCAGCGACAGAAGAGCACGTGTCAAGACAGCACGGCGTCAAAACAGCACAGCGACCACACAGCACGCATGTAGCGTGCTGTTTTGTCGGTTTGCGTTCTTGGAGACATGCATTTTTTAACTCCATACGCTATATTTATGGTGCTGCGTTTACGGCTTAAATCGAATAAAACCGGTAAAATTACGCCGAATTGATTTTTCCAAATTCGGTTTTAACTGAAAACGGTCAGTATTTTCGAGATCGTTTGGAGGGGTGGGTGGCTGCAGGAGGGGGGGGGGGGCGATTTGTGAGTCATCACTGACCGTATAACCACTTCCTTTTGCAGTTTTCAGCTTGTCTCCGAGATCGGTTCAACTTTTAACAGAAGGTCCGGTAGCGCAGGTGTCTTCAGGATGAAATCTGGGTTTTTCGTCTGATAGGGATTTGTGCCGAATTCTTTCATGTTGAAAAACAGCGCGACTGGGACGAGGACACACAAAGACGAAGAGAACACAAGACAAAGCGCTGACTAGCAACTGGTTCGTTATTACAACATAAGGAAGAATGACAGTGAAATGAAAAACATGGAGTCAAATGTTCGCGCGCTTGCTTGGCGCCTCGTGGAATATGCCACTTTCTTCTTTTTTCTTTTCCATCCGATTGCAGACTGGTGTTCTTCTTTCCTCAGGAGCTTGGGTTACCCTGAATCCAAAAATTTCATCTCGCTGGGAGTCATAGTCAGCGAAGGTTGGCTTACACACGAACTGTTGCTCTTCATGATGTTGTAGGCTTCTACAATCTCTCGACTTGTTTGGTCGTGGTGTTGAAATAATATGCTGGTGTTTTCGAACTGTGGTTCGCAACCGCAATCTCTGCGATGCATCGCTAGATGTGAATTAGCGCTGCCTTTCAAGGAGCTGTGGTGCTCTCTTAGTCGGATGTTTCAGCACCGGCCAGTCTGCCCGATATAACAGCGCCCACAAGAGAAGGGAATGCGGTAAACCACGCCTTTGACGCACGACACGAACTTTATCCCATGGTTTACCTTACATGTGTTATATTCCGATCTTGCTATCCCCTCCCTGCGTGCACGTACAGCGGAACATAATCTACTTAGTTTGTTTTTGGCTGAAAAAACAACGTTCACTTCGTATCTGGACGCGACTTTTTTAAGTCCGTGTGAAATGCGGTGAAGATAAGGAATGACCGAAACTTTCTTTTTTTCTTTTTTAACTGGTTCTTCCAGCATAAAATTGGAACGAATCTTCACGAGTTTTATTAAACTATCGCATGCTGATGAAATATTTGAGTCTCGGTATCCTGAATCCCAATCAGCATGCGATAGTTTAATAAAACTCGCAAAGATTCGTTCCAATTTCATGCTGGAAGAATCAGTTGAAAAAGAAAAAAAAGAAAGTTTCGGTCATTCCTTATCTTCACCGTATTTCACACGGACTTAAAAAAGTCGCGTCCAGACACGAGGTGAACGTTGTTTTTTCAGCCAAAAACAAACTAAGTACATTATGTTCCGATGTACGTGCACGCAGGGAGGGGATAGCAAGATCGGAATATAACGCATGTAAGCTAAACCATGGAATAAAGTTTGTGTCGTGCGTCAAAAGCGTGGTTTACCGGCATTCCCTTCTCTTGTGGGTGCTGTTATATCGGGCAGACTGGCCGGTGCTTAAACATCTGACTAAGAGAGCACCACAGCTCCTTGAAAGGCACCGCTAATTCACATCTAGCGATGCATCGCAGAAGTTGCGGTTGTGAACCATAGTTCGAAAACACCAGCATATTATTTCAACACCACGACCAAAGAAGTCGAGAGATGGTAGAAGCCTACAACATCATGAAGAGCAACACTTCGTGCGTGAGCCAACCTTCGGTGACTCCCAGCGAGATGAAATTTTTGGATTCAGGGTAACTCAAGCTCCTGAGGAAAGAAGAAGAACATCAGTCTACAATCGGATGAAAAAGAAAAAAGAAGAAAGTGGCATATTCCACGAGGCGCCAAGCAAGCGCGCGAACATTTGACTCCATGTTTTTCATTTCATTGTCATTCTTCCTTGTGTTGTAATAACGAACCAGTTGCTAGTCAGCGCTTTGTCTTCTGTTCTCTTCGTCTCTGAGTGTCCTCGGCCCAGTCGTGCTGTGTTTCAACATGAACTCTCACCAACTCGCCCAGTTATCGATCCTTACCGAATTCTTTGTTCAAATAAGAGAGATTAATCGTGAACTGAACAATGAAAATCAAGGGCGTCCGTAAATGTCGCACATTTTTTTAACAGCCCTAGCTTCCGTCTGCTAAAGGAGAGCATTAATACGATTGTTTTATTGTTTTATTGTTTTATTATTATTTTATTGTACACACACACCTGAAATTGCTGCACTCAAGCGTCGATTGTCCAGTGATTCGAAGCATCGATGTAGCTTTCTTTAGAATCACATTTGGCACTTTTTATGCCGTCCGAATCTTTCTTCCTGGAGTACAGACTGCAGTCATACTAGTCCGCAAAAATCATCGACACGCACGATGGGAACGAAACAGTTTTGAAGGGCATCCCTCCAACGAAATGGGAACTGCATACCCGCGAGTGTGGGATGGTTTTTCAGTTCGTCCCATGGGCGCAGACATATGTAGGCGTTACTGGTACAAAAACAAACACAGCGCACAAAGCGGCAGTGTGGGATACGTCAGCCGTGCCGATACGTGGCAGACATTATCGGGAGATCGAATTTCTTGGATCGTACGGTACGAATCCATCGTTGTTGCTGCCCCACAGAACAACGGTGAGTTGGAAAACTATGAAACTTTGTCCCCACGAGAAATAACGTATCACTATTGGAGCACTTAACGACGCAGCAGCTCATGCTGTCAACACAGCGCAACCCGCACCGCTTCCACTTCAAGGCATTCCAATGTACGCGGGGTGGTTTCGTTCCGCTGGGGTTGTCACTGCCTACCTTCAGTAACGGCCGCGCGGCGGCGGGCGGTCGCGTAGCACGGTTTCTATAATTAGGCGCATTCTTCGCTAGAGTTAATCTTTCGCAAACTATTGTGCGGGTACACGCAATCTCCAAACTTTCAACGGTGATTCTACTTTCAGGTTGATTATCATCGAAAGTTCAATAAGCGTTATCACTGTAGTGCGCGGATTAGATATCTTGCGGGGGTTTTCATATACAGGCTGCTGCAATTTATTGCTATTTTTATCAATAAAGGATAAGAAATTTTGTTTTCTCTATCCAGTATGGGGTAATTTATGAACTTCACTACAACGCGGCGCCCTCGTGCTCTCCGCAACGTTTATAATAAAAAGCACTAATCGCTTTAACGCTAATTATGCGGGTGCGTTGCCTCAAATAAAAGTGAAGGACAAGATCTAAAGCTATGAATATAAAGCGAAGGTGAAACAAAAATTTGTATACATTTGTAATATCAAAACACGAATCGGAGCTACTTCTTACGAAAAGCTTAATTTAGAGCTCAGAAAAAAAAAATCGATTGCGACTAGCGGATGTCAAGTTACAAATTTCGAAGAAGTCCAACGTTATAAAATTAAATATCAAAATATTTAGACCAGGCTAAATCAAACCGCAATGAAGCAATATTTCCACTTCTAACGCTTTCACTTCCAATTCTACCCTTCCTCTTCTAACGCTTCCGCTGCAAAATAGGTATGAATAATGGAAGCAAAATAATCATATTACCAACGAACGACCAAGAAAGAAACGTGCAACGTAAAAGATGTTTTCAACTTTCCCTTTTATCTTTCTTCTTTTTTTTTGCAGTTGATGCCTGGGAAGACGTGCAACGGCAGCATGGTGAGTAATATCCTTTCCCCTCCCGGATTCTAGGAAGATGAAACGGCGTAACTCCCATGACAGCGATATATCATTGCGGCGCCAAATAAACAGGAACCCGTAGCTCCATACCTCAGCTTCGCTTGGCTTCTCAGTCTGACGGTACGACCCGCTGGTTTCTAAGAAAAATGTAGAAATATAAGGGAGACGTGACAAAAATACAGTTTGAAACGACCTTGCTATCCTCTGACTAAGTGAGACGGATGATCAGAAGCCCATGAGAGTTCCCGGGAACAAACTGATTCCCGGGGATTAGGGAACGGAATATTTTCCCTTTAGCCAAGTTATGCATCCTAGAATATATAGGCGCAGTTCCCTATCACATCCGCTCTCTTCCATTGAAGCAGCGAAAAAATGTTTTACCTACCGGATGAAAAAAAAGTTACTAGGCCATAGGGAAGATATAACAACTAAGAAATATACGCATGATTCTAACCGGAGACAACTGGCCACAAGGGACCAAGGAACAGACTCACACGTATCGCGCTGAGACGTGCGTGTTTGTCCCTTGTCCCCTTGCCGTCCGTCGTTTCCGGTTAGAATGATATGTAGTGTTAAACAGTTCGCCTGCTTAGTAATCTTGTCTTGGGGAAATATCTTCAGTTGCTGAATTTTATACAAAAAATCTTCTAAATGGCAGCACCCGGAGGTGTGCCTTTCCTAATGAAAATATCGTTATAAAGGTAAAAAAAGCTATGGAAACGGTATCTATGTTTTCTAAGCGACCACAAATCGTGGTTAGTTACTCAAATGCCCGACGTTTTGGTCTTCATTACAATCAAATTATATGTTTAATTATCAGCTTACCTAGCTTTCTTTTTTCCTAGTCAAATAGAAACTTAATACAAAAAAGCCTTGCAGAATAAACATAAATTCTCATAACCCATGCTTTTTTTTCAGTTTTGAACTCTTGTTCCCGTTCCTATTTCGTTAATGATTCGCGTAACAGCTTATCGGAGTCACTCTCATTACGTCATATGGTCTGTCTTTTAGTGTGAGCGTAAAGAGCACTGCGTCGGGTTTAATCAGTTAAATTCAAGACACTATTCTGTTCTCCATTAACAAGAAAAATGTATTTCTATGCATGTCTTCCTCAAATCTGTTTTGGTAAATAGGTTCCTGCAAAGTAAGGTAGGTTCGATTATCAACCCCAAAGGAAAACAGACATGCATAGTGTGTTTTAACTCGAACAGGGTTTAAAAGAAACAAAAACGACTATCGCTAAAGGAACATAGTGACCGCTGTTTTCTTATTGGTCTTGACGAACATTTGATGGGTGCAATAGCAATCACCACCATGCTTCTAACTAAAAAGGGTTATTACAGTGAAATTGTATAAGACTCGCAGGTCAGATTTTTTCGTGTCGGCGTCCTCATGGAAAAAACAACCTTCAGCGATTGAAGTGAAAAGTGCATATCACGCACATAACATACAGCACAGGATTCGTTTCAATGAAGAGTAAGCAAAAAACAAGCATCCGAACAGTTCATTGAAAATAAGGCGCTCCTGTTAGCAATGCGAGGCACGTTGGGTTGACCGGATACGTTTCGCGGTAAAGATTACTGTCCCCACGCCGCAAGCTGCCGTGGCGACGGCAGCTTGCGCAAACAGTAATATATACCGATAAACTTATGCGGTGAGGGCTACGTGCTTCGCATTGTTTTCACGAGCGCCTTCTCATCAATTATCTAATTCGGATGTTGTTTGGTGGTTGTTCTTTATTGAAAGGAATGCAGGTGCTGTGTGTTATGTGCGAGACATGCACTTTTCGCTTCAATCGCAAAAAGATTTTTTTTTTTTTTTTATGGAGACGTTGAAATTAAAATGTCCGACCTGCGAGTCATGTACAGCTTCGCTGTAAAAGACGACCGGCGTTAAAATACTAAATGATAACGGTTGGATTTTTTTTGTCGCCTCATTTTTGTAATATGTGCAGAACGAATGTAAAAACTCTGCCCGTGATTACACGGTACGGCCTCACTCGTGTCGGTCATCTCACCGGTACCTCAGTAGCAGACGTGTACGTAACGCGTTAATAGCGTAACAACCCAGAAGAGGACGACGACAAAGGAGCAAGCGGACTGAAGCCCGTGCGCTACGGGTACGCGGACTCGAAATTCTGATATCGCCGGCGACCGCAAGCTGCACGCTATTTATCTCTATTAAATAACTTATAAGTGGTGACCCGGAGAGAGCTGCTTCGCCTTCAAAGCACCATCACGGCTAACAGTGGAGCCTCCACCTCAGGCGACACGTCATCGGTGCACCTACGTCTCCCACAATATTGCGCCGCCGATCCTGAGGTATGGTTCGCCCAGATTGAAAGTCAGTTCTCCACATATGGGATAACCTCGCAGATCCGCATGTTTCACGACGTAGTTACCGTGCTCTGACCCGACATTGCGACGGAAGTTCGAGATTTGATCCTCGTTCCGCCACCAACAGATCCTTACACCAACTTGAAGACGGAACTGGTTAAACGCACATCAGACTCCGAACAGCGCCGACTGCAACAACCTTAAACTAGCGAAGAGCTCGGTGATCGTAAACCTTCTCAGCTGCTCCGACGCCTGCAACAAATTATTGGCGAGCGGGCCTCGCCATTCGACACTTGGCTGTTGAAAGAGTTATTCGTACAGCTATGGCCGACCAATGTGCGTATAATCTTAGCGACGGCATCCGACATCCAGGTGACAGCCCGAGCACAGCTGGCAGGCTTTGGGATGGACGTTGCCACAACGCTGGTGGCACAACTCTAACAGACGCAAGAATCCTCAAAACTATGAACGGCGTCAACGCCTTTTACCATTCCCACAGATATGAAACATCTTTGAGAGTTCTTCCATCGATTGCTGACGGACCTAAGAAACGAAATATCGGCAATATCGTTGCGCTCTCGATTGACATCGCGGGGACGTGATGACAGCCACGATCGTCTAGACCTTTCAGCCCCACAACAGTATAGGGTGTACTGGTACCACCAAACATTTGCGCACCGAGCCAAGAACTGCCTACCACCCTGCGTAACGGCGGAAGATGCCAATCTCAACCACAAAAGGGGCCAAGTGGTGTTAGAAGAAATGCAGGCCGCTTATTTTTTTCACAGACCGCAATACCGGGCAACGTTTTCTAATAGACACCGGTGCTGAAGTCAGCGCCTTACCTGCATCTGCGCTTCCTTGTTGCCGAAAAAACCGCACTCTACAAGCTGCAAAGAAAACACCAATAGCAACCTACGGTGAGCGAGTTTTAACCACCAACATCGGACTCCAGGGAGTTTTCTGTTGGAAGTTTCTAATTCCAGACGTTGCATACCCAATATTGGGCGCCAACTTTCTCTGGCATTTCAACCTCCTTGTCGACATGCTGAACAAGCGTCTGGTAGGCTCTGTGACGAACCTCATGGTACAAGGAACAAAACAGTACGCCTTGTACTGTTTTGCTTTTCACTGTTCGCTACGCAGTTTCTTCTTAATTGTTATTACTTAGGGGCAGGATTGCCCGGTGCTTTAACCCCATTCTTTGTTTAGGTTGCAATACTCGGTGTAACTTCGAACTGATTCTTCTTCTTATTTCGGCGTTACATGTTTTCAAATGCATTAAGCAACAGAGCACTACAGACCGCGACATCGTTTGCTGCTTCGTCGGTGACTCTAACCTAATTGCTCCGATCGGTGTTCCCTGATTTGACGGACTGGCTGGCGGTATGCTCCGCTTCAATTTACGACGGACAGCGGAGGATGCTACGAGCCATCGACGCCAATCAAATACCACCTGAGTGTCACGTAACCTTCGAGAGGGGCGCTGCAACGTGCGAAGCGCAGTGTCACGTCTTACGTTCACAATGCTGGATTGGCTGGGATCACTCGTAGCGTCTCCCTGTAGTGCATCATAAGAAGAAACGGGGCATACTTAAATTACCGTCAGTGTTAACGTTCTGCCATCCGTTTTCGCCTCTCCCTGACGTGTAGTTGACTTGAGCCGTCGCTACGAGCGTTTCGTCGGGGAGCGTACACTTGGTCACAAAAGAAGTTATGTTTTTTACGGATGGTTTAGGAAGAGCAAATAAAGTTTCTCTTCATTCATGGCGGCTCCAAGTTCTTCCGGAGTCAGGGGGATACTTGTCTGCAGCGACGCGCGACTGGGAACCTTGGCACTTCATTTGCAATATTGAAGAATCGACAACGCGAAGAGGCATCGTTGCAGCAAAGCAAAAGCGACAGGGGTGGGGATGGGGCTCGTCACGCCTGAATCTCCGGAGCGAGATTTCGCTGCATTTCGAGTTGAGTGAGTCAGCGCGCTTGGAAGCAACGCAAACTCGCAGAACACTCGGGCCACCAAGTCCCACTGGTCATAAACGTAAATTCGTAATCCTACATAACCTGCGTTAGGGGCTGACTGTTTGCCGAACGTTACCATAAAGCTGAGACGTGCTAATCTCAAAGGCACTTGACCATTTTACGTATAAGAATCATTTGCACCGTGAAATCGTCATCCAGTTAAATAAGATAGTCGACGTGTATATTGAACTTGGTTCCAATAGGTCATCTATACGAATCAGGGTGCGGTCAATTTATTGTTCAACAAGTTGAATCTTCAATCGCCATTTTTTTTTTCAACCACAGTCTGTAACACCATGTCTTAAGCAATGCCGATCAGTTTAAGAATAATGTTTATTAACCAGACTCAAGAGGCAAAAGAATTAAACTTCTGGGAAAAATAAGAGGTCACACTGATGAACATGCGTGCCCATATAGGCCAGACTTTTTTGGTTGAAATGTGAGGTTTCCTTTTACTTCCAACGTCCTCAGAATAATTGCCCCGTTCAGGTTCGAAAATACTGCAGACATCATTTCTGAACTTACTTTATTTGTATATAAAGTGCCTGTGAATCCTTCTGTGTTTGAAAAGAGAATGGAAAACGTGATAAAACACCGCTCTTGCCACCAAACCTTGTTAGGTTCCAAAAAAGAAAAGAAAACGCGCTTAAACGACGACTTTTTGTAGATCCCTTAGAGCAGTGTTAGTGATGATGAGGCTAATTACTGCCTGACTCAAGCCCGCGTCAGTAACTTGGTTGCGCAGAGAGAGGCATCTCAGGAGCTGACGCCGCGCACTCAGATCCTCGGACTTTCTCGAGTTTTACGCACGGACGGAAGCACTAAATTATGCAAACCTAGTTACCGCGCTCCCCGCGGCAGATCCACAGAAACTGCTCCGGCGCTCTAAGTGCCGCACATCCTGAAGTCGTTAGCATTCGTCGCAGAGCAGAAACACGACGATGACCTTGCCGGCTCTCAAATCGCAGGTGCAGTGCAGCCCGACTCCCGCTGACGTGGACGTGCCTGCGCAGACGTCGCCGGGCTCTGCCGGGGCCAAGAACCACCACAAGATACAAGCAAAAAGAATCGATCAGATGTGCAGAATCGCGTTTCCTATGGCCTTCGTCGCCTTCAGCATTGTCTATTGGCCCTACTACTTGCTGTGATGGGGTCGTCACCGGCAATGTCGACGGAGACTGTCAGGTCTACGGATTCTGAGGTTCTTAGTTTTAAGACCCTTTGTTCGGGCCATTTTCATCCGACCCGAGCAGACTGGCGAAGTATTGTTGGTACCAGGCGGAAAGTGGAGTTGTTATTTACTTGTTGTTTCTACAGGGCTAGTCGCTAATTTGGCTAAATGTATTTTGTAGGTTATCTGCGTTGTGCTGTGCTGTCTTAATTTCGCACTCTGGAAGCAGTGAAAATGTCACAGTATCAAGTTTTATAGTATAGTTGCACATTCGTGATTTTTGTGATAACGAAAGTGCTTACGGATTATCCCTTTTTTTTTCCTGTTGCTACTTATTTCATATAAATTGTATATTATCTATTCGCTAAGTTTTGATTAGCTTTAAAAAAGCACAAACAGAAGTTACATTATTAATAATAATTTTGTCAAAAAAGGGTAAAAATGAAATTATATTAAGGGCAACCTAACTCGAATGTATAAACGCGTTGGGCACGCAAGGGAAAAAAATAATTAAAAATACAAAACCGAGGTCAGAAGTTTAGCTTACCAGCGGCTCTCCCAACGCTGTGAGCGAAGAAGTCGGTTGCCGTGCAGTCGTGAGTAATAGCTAAAAGGTGAACAGTTTTACTTGAAATAATACAACGCACATAAATAAAAGTCTGGAATTTCATCGAATAATATATTGCTTTGCCGTATACAAAATGCTCAAGTATAAAAAAATTCAATTTCTGCCCTAAGATCTTGATTTCTGCATGTGTTCATTCTTTTAAGACACCTGAATATAATAGAGCCGTAATCATGCAGTGGTACAAAAAAAAAGGTATCGAGTGTTGGTTCTTGTTTTGTGGCGGTTTCCTAGTTTAAAGACGTGTTGAAGCCCACACGTCGTCCTGAAATATAGTATGATACATCTGTGTCAAAATAACCGGCTCAGGTTACAATTTAGGTCTTGACAGCAGTTTCACAATTGCTAAATCAAATAAAATAAAATGAATTTCATTTGCAGTCATATGGTTGAAAAAGGCACATGATAACAAGCAATTGACGTTAAAAGCAGCTCAACAGCAGGTCTGAGCCCCCATGCAGCTTTTAGCAGGATATTAAAGCGAAGTGAAAAAACACAAACAGATAGCGCAGCAAACCTACATAAATAAAGCAAGGTTTGTCACTTTATACAAGCGATAAATTTGAAGAACTTTATGGATGAAAAAATGCAGACAAAATAAAAAGTAATCATTAAATATATAAAACTAAGACAGAGATTATGCCATGCCACAGATTAGTCATTTAGACATGTGAAGCACTAGAGTATCAGCAAGAAGCCAAATTATTAAGTTTCGCTCTCAAGTCGTGTATTTACTGAGAAGAACCAACGAACTATGACCCGCACCATAAGATTAGTCAGAAGGAACGTTACCTCAGGGACTCCGAAAATTACTTGGACTGTTTCACTTCCCGTTACTACGCACTAAAAGTGACATGCTGTGCGTATTTTTTATAACTCGTAAGATATGCCTCATGCCGCTTATTTTTTACAGTCTTGTTATTGTCTATGATTGTAAAAAATAGAGGAAGCCCTCAGCACCCAAAATCTTCACCGGCGTGTTTGTACGGAAAACAGTACCAGGTGCTGAAACCAACAAGATTAATATATAGGCCTTTATGGGCCGTGTCTTGTTAAAAATTTGGGCATGCCTTATGGCCGCGGTCATTACTTTATGGAGTTTTTTTTCTCTCTACCTGATAGCCACGTCGTTATAAACTTGAAATGTAGCGGGCATTGTATCCTTCACACCAGCTCACGAAAGATAAGAAATTTCAAAAACTGCTGTCTAGGAAATTGGCCTAGCGAATGAAATGTTCTGTTTTTCTCAGCTTTAAACAAAAAAACGACAAGATGATTTGAATTTACACCAGAACGTTTTGATGTCCCACTCATTTTTTCGCTTCAGACCACAAATGTTCACTGTATGCCTTTGGACCGGTTGTTAGCACGCGGGATTTCTCTATTGTTACGGGGTGTAGATCATGACTCAGACTCGAACCCTACTCTGTGCGCCCACTAAAAGTTTTACGTAAAATCCTCAACTATACATCGACGTTTACTGCATATGAAACCACAAGAAGAAACTGAACCAAGCTCACAAAGTTTATAGCAGCTGCATTGGGTTAGGTTAGTTTCTCTTTGAACAATAGGCCGTAGATTTTCCGGCTTTTATTCAACAAGAAAATCGGCGGATGTTTCTCGGTGTCTATTCACTTTTAAGATAACAGTGTATTTCGGTGATATGCCTCCAATTGTCACTAAAACAGTAAATATCGATAAAACAAATTCTTTAAAAATCTAAGGATTATAGCTTAAAAGTGGAAGGTTTCATCAAAGATAGTCCTAATAGGGGCAAAATTTTAAAGAAATTAGTATTTCACGATTTTAACCAGTATTGTATTTTTGACTCCAAAGGATGCTTATCGGTGTCATTCGGTTTTAACCGATTGTGTTTTCTTGAGACCGACAGATGTTTATCGATGTTTTTTTCGCTTAAATTTGGAAGGTCGGCTGTCAAATTAAAAACAAACATTTAGATCATCTTACATTTGAAGGCATGTCTTCAATTCTGTGCCTAAAACACGCGTAGAACTCAGCATAACGACAACCAAATTACCGTGAATACCTACAACTTGTATATATAATGATTCACTCTCCTCGTGTATAAGCGCACAGAATCTGTTCTTCATGGCTCTATGTGCGTTCAGAGCGACCAATACTCTTTTCTGCCATTCACATGTGCTTATTGGTGGATTTGTACTTTCATTACTCGATGAAATGTGTCCATCGGTACACATTATTCTTTGATTAATGAAAAATTATATTTTCTTTGTCTTTTGCATTTGGACGAGCCGCCTTTGTGATTTTGATGCGTAGCGCCGTCCTATGTATTAATTTTGACGTATTCCATTCGGTGCCTGCCATTTGAAAAAGAACATGTTGAAGTAAAACTCCGTAGAAGCCAGATTTATGTGGCATTCAAAAAGTTTCACATGCGGTTTAATTTTATTGAAAGTTATTCGCTGGGCCCAGCCACATTTGCTTTGTTAGTTTCACTGATAATTGCTATAAACATAGGCAGATGAGCGTGCTTAATAAATATGATAAGAGGCATAAAAATGCAGTCTATAAAAGCAAGACACAAAACAAAAGAACAACGGACAGCTTTCAACTTGCAGGTTTCATTTGTCCTTCTCTGCTGTCGTCTTTTTTGGCGAGATCTGCTTCAACGACATGTTCACTCGCTCACTTCCTGACAGAGTCTTCTCAATGTATTCTGCACGAACCTTTCTTCCTAAGCGGTTAAAGAGGTTTGTGTCTCACGTTGTTCTTGATTCCGTGAATGCGAGAAGAGAGTCGATGACCTTTCGTCTCATGCTATGGAGAAGTTTGCTTCGTCAATAACTGCATTTATTTATTTATTTATTTATTTATTTATTTAGTGCTGCTGTCCACCCTTTACAAGGCCTTTACAGGAGCGGTAATGCATACAAGATGTAAACGAACAATCATGCACTGACACTCTAAAAAAAGTGATGCACGCGGAAGAATAAAAAATCAAAGGAAATACATTCAAAACACAAAGTCTCGGCACATTCTCAAGCAGTATACTCTTTATACTTTTAACAAAGTCACAAACACTTGTCATAGTGACGACGGAATTCGGGAGTTGATTACATTCCTCTATTGCCCTAGGAAAGAAACTAAATTTAAAGCAATAATTTTTGACAGATGGTTCCCTGATGTGTGCATGCTATGACGATGTCTCGTACATTAACAGACGCGCACGTCCATGTAATTATTTTGTGTAGCTTAACTAGACAATGAATGGTCATAAAAGGAATTTCAGGCGGACGCACTTTGTTCTCAATTCAAGAGAAGGAAGTTCAGTAAGTTTGAAGAGTTTGGTGTAGAAATGGTTCCGATTATATTTATTAAAGATAAACCTGGAAGCAAGCCGCTGGATTTCATGAAGTTTGGACGAGTTCGCTACGGTATCTGGATCCCACACTACTTTTGCATGTTCAAGGACAGGTCTCACCAGTGTTTTGTAAGCTAATGTTTTTTCTTCTGGCGGAGCGCTAGCAAGATTTCTTCTGAGGTACCATAGTGCCTGGTTAGCTTTTGTGGACACTTTTTTCCCTGTGGGTATTCCATCCGAAGTCCCTTGCAACGGTCACTCCTAAATACTTATTTTCGTCTACACTAGGTAGATTGTTGTCATCTATAAAGTAATCATAATTTGGGAAATGTTTTTTTCTTGTTATAGACAAAAAGGTATTAGAATATTTGCGTTCAGCTATTTTGTACAAAGGACTAAACTTTAAACACAAACTCTCAGTCCCCGCTCAAACATTTACTGCGTCAGCGCATTCGTCACCAAGCATCAAGATATCAAAATATAAATGAATTTCGACCAAAATGTCGAGAAGGATGGGTTTAATTCTTGCGAATGGAAGTACATGCCTATTCGATAAACGCTTCCCAAAGTTCTTCAATATAGCTGTATTACTTATATGCAAAAGAGCGAATGCTAAACAAGTGGCAGCGCCCAAGGCCATCTGAATTTTGCCACATAATTAGGGAGGTGGTGATCCCCAGTAAGGGAGACACAAAGTTATGCAGAATTTGTGTTTTTCAGGAAAATGCAAAGCAGTTAAACGCTCTGCTAATTACGTTGCGCATTACTCTTTAATGCAAGTAAGCCAGCTAAGTAAGTCGAGAAATTTATATAAACTAAACCCTGGCACTACTATTCTAAATTGCACTGCAGAATAGCTCTTTTAGAAACCGCGCACGCTCGTTTCAAAGAGATCAGCATCTCTGCAACCCAAATGTAATCTCGCTTCTGAATAAATACGAAGACGATAAAGATTGCAAAGCTCAATGCCGTCGCACCGTTTAGCTTTCGCGAATGCCCACATTCAGGATGAAGGAGGGAAGGAAAGAAAAAGGGTCGTTTTCTTTACTAAAAAAACAGAGCTAAGAAGCAGAAAATAAAAACAAAGTAACTTTCTTATGCGTAAAAAAGCGGGCTTTTTTCTTAATGTAGGGCTGACTATGCTCAATTTCGTGAGCTTTCTTGTTTAACGATTGATTGCAAATGGTGCATACCGCAAATTAACGATGGGAATGTTCACCCTGTCATGAGTATTGGTTGGCTGATAAGTGCGCGCTAGAAAAAGCTTCTAACGTTTTGATTTTCTGTCATCACAGCTGTTGTTTCAAGCGGGTGTTAGGTTACTTAGGCCGTTAATAATACGCGCAACAATGTTATTTACACATCTTTTAGAGGTAGTTCTGAGCCCTGTTCAGCGTCAAATCTTGATATTGTTTGTTATCGTATGGTTACAAGCAGGTTGTTGCATATCGGACCATGCAAATATGGTAAAAAGGTTGCACGTTTCATGCCAGTATTAATAACCTGTAAGTCAAATAAAAGTTAAGACATTTCAACTGGTGTGGTTTGATAATTTTATTAAATCCTCAATTCCCCGCAAGTACAGCACATTATGCTTATGGCAGGTAACCTACGCGCTCTGCGATGCAGATTTTGGTAATATCGCATTTTACATCACACACCGACAAACGTCATCTGCCATCTTACTAATATTAATATTTTTTTTGCTTAGGTATTCCATTTAATTCCAAGCATTCGGCCTTGAATCAAGTTCTAGTAGCATGGATACAGCTTTTTTTAAATCAACAGGATTAACCATTTTGGCGAAGGGTGTAGAAAGGTGATTCCAGTCAGCAGACGTACGAGGTATGAATGATGTGTAGTAGGTATTAGTGTGGCACTATGGAATTTCGACTTTTTGTATCTGATCATTCCATGATGATATGTAGGATGGCTTCAGTAAGAGTTCAGTCTTAAGGATTGGGTTGTGAAAAAAATATATTTCAATATTTTCACGACCCATAATAAAGAGACACTGACTGACATAAGTTCTTGTCGAACGTTCACTCGTGTATAACCGGTGCCTCCGTTTGGTGAAGTCGAAAATTCAGCAATACGGCCTTGTTATTAGGTCTCAGTGGAGGGTGAAGGCGAGTGGAGAAGATAGTCATTGGGCTTACCTCTGCTCTGATCACCCTTCATTTGATGAGAGGCTCAAAAAAAATATAAAAAATATTTAGTCGTCATTACGGCGTTGGCCTCCAAATAAAAGTCATTTTTGAGCTGGCCCGTGCTTACGAAATCGTACTAAATGTAAAATGTGTGTGGCGGCGTATGTATATCATTAGTCACTTAGCTTTTAGGGTAAACTACACCTTGGTGCATTATCGTCTAAGCAGGCAAAAATAAAATGTATTATTGTTTTTGCTTTTGTTTTTGTTGTGGGTAGTAATGGTTATGAAGGTGTTTTTTTTTGTTCTTTTGAAGGGGAATTGCAGTCTGTTTCTCAGTAAATTTATTTAATGCTTGAGACTACTATATAATAATTGCGCCCATATTTTTTTTTGACGCTTTCATCAGTGACGCAAAAGTATTAATCTATAGTAAGGTAAGTTGTGCGAGTTGATAATGATTGAACATGGTTGAAACTGCGCACGAATAGAAAGGAACTGGTCGATATCCACACGCAAACAAAAATTTCAAAATGTTTGACTGTGTACATAGGTGGTAACTGTTGTAGTATGGTTGTAACTTATTTTGAGACTTGTTATCGATATGGGTTCCTTTTGGCATTAAAGAGTACAACAGATGCCTCGAGATAATTCCTGTAACGCTGGACTAATTAAACCTCCTAATTTCTATGAAGGCGTTTTACCCCTCCCGACCGCTACGTAATCTCTTACTTCCTGTTCTTGCCGCGGAGGTTGTAACCGTTGTGTGACTGCACTCCTGTACGCGTGTCGTGATACGCAGTTGCTTTTTTACGTGACGTCAGATTTAAACCCGGACGACCAAGCCCATTTTGAATTAGAGTTGTCTCATTACTCTCAGACCTCCTCCCTCCGCTCCCTTTCTTTCCCATTGCCTATATAGCACCACCTGTGTATATGGGCGCGATGCTGAATTCTCTACGGCTCCTCCTGAAAGCCATTCCGAGCATACATTGGACACAAGTGCAACGTGAGGGTTCGGCTGAAACTCACGTTAAATAAGTGAAGAGTCCCAGTCAAACTCTGATGTGGAGCGCGTGCCCAACGTGTGAACCGTGCTGGCCCTCAGTGAGCCACCTAGAGAAGTCAAAACTGCGGCTTTCTGTCCCGATGTTGCTGTCCTGAAACGTGAGGGAAGAAAGAGTGGAGCTGAAAGTACCGGATCAACTACCGTTTGCAAGCCCCGCTGGTGAAAACTGCAACAAGTTTCAAACAGCGGCTGGAAACCACGACTGCGGTGGAACCATCACCTAAAACGAAAGAGAAACACAAGATATTGTTGTCGATTCGTGTTGCGGGAGAACGCAACGTAGAGATATTTAATACATTTCCACTCGAAGAGCGACAAACCTCGCTTGGTGTCCTAGAGAAATTGGTAAAGCTACGTCTTTACACTTCAATTAAACGTTCGAGCGTCTTGCATTTGTGGTGCGGTAACAAACTCTATGTGACCAGACTGGCCAATTCAACCAAGAAGTGATTACGAAGAACAAGAGGCGAATTCTGTACTTTCGTCGAATAAATAATTGGCAATAAACATTTCTATGGAAAAGCTAACAGAAAATGTGAAAACCGTAGTCGTGTAAAAATATTTGGCGCTTACTTTTAAACGAGATTGTGCATGCGCCAATTTAAGAGGAAATCCACCAGCAAAACTCATGGCGTAAGGCTCATAGCCTGGTTCTTGTTTATCTTTTCCAGGTAGGTATCTGGACATTGGTCTGTATCCCACACCTCCGGGTCCGACTCAACAGGTTTGCAACACGTAATAAAGAAAACATTTAAAAAACTCTCTTCATCTAACGCCCAAAATATATCGTATTTAGAATCTATGCCTAATATAGGCCTCTCTGGAAGCGACGCAAATGAAACGACACGAGCAATGTTTTGCTCAGTTTTCTCTAGCGATGACACATATACTATTGCATAAGGCTTGAATGGATATGTTGTTTGATGCCAAATATGAATTGCTCAAAGGACCACAAAATGTTTAACTTTTTAAATGTGAACAAAGTGTTTTAGATTGGTATGACTGGAAACAGCTCGCCGAGACAAGTTCTTTGTTACCCACTGTCTAGTAACAGGACCAAATTTAGCCATTTAATTTGGGCAGATAAATTGACCCGGGCCAATTTTGTGCAAACACGCAAACGAGTTCTGTGCCCAAGCGAGTTTTATTATAGAGCGCAGCTCTTAGCCGCCCGTTTCCGGCTTGTGTGGCGTCGCCGTCGGTGTAACCGCGCGTTGCATTATGGGTCGTTTCCCATAAAGACGACACACGTGAGATCACGTGTGGCGTCACAAGGGTCACGAGTGACGCCACGGGGGTCAAGAGTGACATCGCGAAGGTCCCTCGTGAAGGTCACGACGAAGATCACGACTTTCACAGTGAAGATTACGTGAAAGTCACGACCTTCACGAGGCCCTCACGAGTGACGTCACGAGGGAGGAGGGAGAGAAGGGGAGGAGGAAGGGAGGATAAGGGGAGGGGACTGACGGGAGGAGGAGAGAAAGAGGGAGGAGGAGGAGAGGAGGGGAGGGGAGGAGGAGGTTAAGAGAAGAGGGTATGGAGGAGGAGGAGGGCATACCCCCTCTCCATACCCTCTCCTCCTCCTCCTCAAGCGCTGTGCTCTAGTTTGGCATTACAGGGAATTGTAAACGTCGTCCATTTTTTTATCCAATTCAACGATGCAACTAACGACTCGCTGGGACAATATTAATTACAAAACATGCCCCAGGCCTTGTATGAAAAAAGAGAACTATACATGAATAGGTAACTATTTGCAAGCTCAAACGATGCAGTTTGGACAAGTGGTTACATAATTATGAAATGTTTAGAATCATGTGCCAAGCTACATCTGCTCATATCCCAAAATCACTTTTTTTTAAAATTAGTACCGGGTAATACTAAAAACAGTACAAGCATCATAATGCATAGACTTACACAGCAAGAGGAGCAAATCAATGCCTGAACAAGGCGTTCACAATCTCATAGAACCCCATAGAAGGTTGCACTGTGGCCGAACGAACACCACTCAAACAGGACCTGAAGAGATTGTTCTCATGAGATAAATTCAAACAGCTAAATCTATGAATATAGCTACTAAATCTCCTGTTATCATATTGGTACCGGAGAGAAAAAACATTATTGTGCCACTATCATGTCTGAAACGCGATTGCAGGAACTTAGATATAAGAAAGTTCATTGCAGTGTAGGGCACTTAAAGCTCAGCTGTAACATTACGAGCAAAAGAATCGACGCTCAAACTAATCAGGAAGAGCGTAAAAAATTCATCAAGTCTTACTTGTGATAAATTTGGCGCACCTATTTCCTTACTACCAACGCGTGTGAACTGTGCTGAATCATGACGTATGTTTCTTCAAGTTTATACAACAACCTCCAAATGTTCAATGTTTTCCATGACATTGAATGGTCGAATTATGTATACTGTACGGTGCTAAAAGCCATCTCAATGATGTAACCATCCTGCGCAGTTCTTCAAGCGCTGAGAAAGCCACTGAATGAGAAGCTGCAGCAATTAGCCATTCCAAGCACCGTTGAGAACGTGGACGTATTATCGGACTGTGTGCGTTCCCGAAGCTTAAATGAGTGGCTTACGCGCGAGCAGTATCATACTCTAAAACTAATTAGTATCGAAGGAAAACAATTGCATATTACATTTTTAATGCTCGAGGCAGATTCAGGATTGCATAAGATATCATTGTATTCACTGTAAACAAATCTAAGAAGGGAACAAAAGGTACTCACTAAAAATACTTAGGGACAGCCTTATTCTGAAACTAAGTAAAGTTCGAAACAAACAATATTTTGCTACTCACCGTTTCCGGCATTTCCAAAATCCAGCACAATTCCTTCAGACGTAGCGTAAGCCGTGAGAGGCAGCCATAACACCTGCGGCTTGCTCAGAATACGGCTGCATTGACTACGTTTCAGTTAGTTTAGCGGAGTCAGGTGGCGATTAAGAATTTCAACGTATTTCAGTGTCGAAACTTTAGAGATCTCCTCGTTTGCTCGTGATGTGACAGCATTGCTTTGAAGAATAAGGTATATTTGTAACCCCAATTCGCTAGTACGTCCACTCGTGTACTTTGTGGAAGAGAAATGCATAAACAAAAGCTCCTATAGTGCAAACGACAGTCTTTCTCATCGGCTCAGTACTTCAGAACTCTTCTCACGCCCGGCCTTAACTTTGCTTAACAATTCATTGATATTTAAAATTTCTATATCGGGTGACTTTTTTTTTTCATTCGAAAAGATTTATTACGGAATTTCGTAAAAGATGCACTAATACAGTTTGCTCGGGTGAGTTATACGGCCAGGGATATATTATGTGGGTGGCTAATCTTTCCGATAGGTCGACTAATTAATTAAAATTCGTTAATTAGCGTTTTAGCTAGTGAAAATATACAT